TTGTGCTGGCCTGGGCAGGACTGGGCCAGATCTGAGAGTCTCCGGTGGAGGGGGGGTGGGACTGGGGCAAGCGTCCAGGCATTGTCCATTGGAGGAGCCTCACTGAGCCTCAGGAAATGCAGGGGGCCCATGGGCAGTGGCACGGACTGCCTGCAGCCCTGGGCAGCGGAGGTCAAGCACCCAGCCTGGCCCTTGAGCTCCCACGGCACCAGGACCCCACAGCCCTGCCTACCCTAGCCGCACTTCCCTGAGGGGGTGCCCAGCTGCATGGTGAGTGCAGAAGGGCAAATTGCATGGGTCAGAGGGAGGCCCACTCCCCCTCCATGTGAGGAGACCTGGCTTTGTAACCAAAGCATCCTCAGCAATAGGATGGGAGACCACCAGGGGATGGAAAAAGGGCCACAGGGCTGCTGGTGGTCAAGTGCTAAGGCAGGATTTAGCACTCCCTCCCTCTCATTCCAATCTCCCTGCCTCCCTCCCTCCCTCCCTCCTTCCTTTCTCCCTCCTTCCCTCCCCTCCTTTTCATTCCCATCTCCTTTCTTCCTCTCTCCCTCCCTCCTTCCCCTCCTTCCTCTCTCTCTCTTTCTCCCCCTTTCTCCAAAGTCCAAACACGTGTGTGCTACTTTCCTCGCTCACGCTGTGCATGCCCACAGAAAAGGCTCTGTGATAGAGGATTAAACAGCTGGGTGATTTTGGGCCAGTCATTCTCTCAGCCCAATCCACCTCCCAGGTATGTTGTGAGGAAAATAGGAGGAGAAAGGTATGTTGGATATGTTCGTTGCCTTGAGCTATTTATAAAAATAGTATAGGCCAGATATAAATATAAATAAAATTAATTCATTAAATAAATACTGGATTTCAGGACCTGTACTGATTTTCTAGACACGTAGGGAAACCAATCCAAAGCAGCAGGTTGCCTAGAAGAAGACTCCACTTTGCAAAAGATGAGAGAGAGAGAGAGAGAGAGAGAGAGAGAGAGAGAGAGAGAGAGAGAGAGAGAGAGAGAGAGAGAGAGAGAGAGAGAGAGAGAGAGGATTCCAAGTGCTCATCTGTATGGAAATTCATCTTTTCCATCTCCAAGTGGAGTGATGCAAATATGAAA